TGACGGTTGCTTCACCCGGCAAGCTCACTTGGTCCTACAAAGCGCTTTCCAAACATCCTAGTTTTCCGAACAAAGATACTGTATCTACATTATCTCAGGCTGATCATGAAAGAGTACGGCGCAGCGAATACCAGCATGAAAAGGACCATAAGTTGAACATATCACTCGGGCATGGCTCACTGGATGTCGGTCCCGTGTCACTCCATTGCGCCAGACATCAGATATCGCTTCAACCCCCGTACGAACACACAAACTTACGTACGTGCAAACATATTTTGAAAACACTGGGAATACTCACACGTTCCTACGCGCTGCCAGTAACCTGCCATACAAACAGATACGTAAAAAATAGGCCAGCAAAGTGATCAAAATATGTCATTATTTCTAGACAATTAGTGAAATGTACACGCATATGTCGAATAGCATTACGACATCCCACAATGCTGATATCCTTGGTGGCTGCTTCGGCAATGCGTTCAAGGAACTGCAGCCTCCATTCCATCTGCGTCATGAGTTTCTGGGGATCCCCGGCCAGAAGTTCCTCGTAGTGCACTCTCATCTCATTCTTCACTCTGGCCTTCACCACCTGCCAAACATTCTCGATCGGATTGAGGAACGGAGAGTATGGGCTCAATCTCAGTATGGTTACTCCATCGAATCCATCTACTGACGACAGTTCTTCCAGTCGTGTGTGACATGGTGCATTATCACATATCACGACAACCTGCCGGAGCTCCATCTCCCGTTTCAGGTTGTCTAAATAGCTTCGCAGCCATTCGAGAGATAGGGAACCTGTGAATGAGCCTCTCCGGGTTGTCATCGACACTTTCCCTTCCATCGTTAGTGCACCGATTAAATGCAAATTGTGTCCTCTGCTGTTGGTAACTTTGCAACAGGCCCTCACTCCTCTGGGCGCCCGACCACAAGTACGTTTGCAGTAAACGTTGAAGTTCGCTTCGTCAATCCAAATGAGGAACTTGTCATCGCTCTGAACGAATTCCCTGCGTATCCCTTTGCCTCGCTCATTGTTCATTCCCTCGGGAATCTGATAGATGTTCTTCATAGTTATCAATCGACCATCTAGGTACCGTGCGATTGTTGACTTCGAAATGTCCTTGTCCATTTCTGCTCGTACTCGTACTCGCATTTCCCGTAGCGTAAGAGTTGAGTCCCTTGCGATCCAATCCAGGATGTCATCTACGTCACCCTCCGACAAAATCCCCATACGACCGCGCGCCTGCGTAGTACTCGGTTCCTGATCAAGAGAACGACGAATCCAGGAGTAGGCTGTTTGATATTTGACGTTGTTCACAGTTGCCACAAGCTGCCAGTCATCACCGTTGACGAAAGCGCCCAAAACTCGGTCACGAATATCTGATGAGATACTCTGTCGAACGTGAGAAGGCATGCCGACGACGTTAGAATCATAGACATGGTTTCGGTCGTGCGCTTATGTTCCAGCTGTTCATTGCTCTCAGACCAATTGTGATCCATCGTTTCGGACGTGAGGGGGGCGCATACAAGCCCGTTGCACCGTCGAAGTGCATTCCTCCAAGGTTCATTCACAAGTCTCACCCAGTCAACGAGCAGCGCGCCCACCTCCCCAGACTAACACACCGAACCTTGGCATCCGGCCAATGAGAACACACTTAAGGTCAGAGGATTGGCTCTGAGTGGCTGGCGAATCGCACAGGGTATTGCAACATTGTGGACTTTCTTTGCAAAGTTTTGGACCTTCTTTGCAAAATTTGTGGACTTTCTTTGCAAAATTTTGGACCTTCTTTGCGAAATTTTGGAGTTTTTTTATGCAACTTTGCGGGAAATGCTTTAGACCAAACTTGCGTTGAAAATTTCTCGAACCAGTGTTGGTCATCGCGATTCGCGTGACTGCACTTGTCAACGGAAGGGGTGGAGGGACATTCATGGTCTTCGCACACAGAAGGTGTCACATATTACAAGCCTGAATGTCTTAGAGGCCAAAGGTATGTAAGCGATGTAACTGGAAGGGTAAGCTGAGTTCAAATGTTGCAAATGCAAACATAATACTGATCGAAGCAACGTTCGGCGTTAGAGTTTTGTAGTTTAATTCCCCCACGTTGAGCCAGTCCTGACTAAGACTCAGGACCGCTGGTCGGGTCATTCTAGAGTTATGCTATGGCAGCTTCTCGCTGTCTCGGTCGCATTAAGCCCACACTCCGAATATACTCGAAGAATCACCACTCGCTGATCATCAGCGACTTGACGTAACTGAGGTTGCATAACATTCACTGAAGTGACTGTATCCTCCCGTTCCATCGCTGAAAAAGTAATCAAATAACAAAGGAAGCTTACCGTGTGCCTAAAGTTATCTGGCAAATCTAACCAATGTCCGGACCGCAATTTTTCGCATGATTGTCCACAACTATGAATGCCATTATTGACCTTTGGGCTACCAGTTATCAGAGCAGAGCGAACTTCCTGCCCGACGTACACATGTTTACGGTTAAGCATACCACACCGATTGGATAGCCTGACAACGAATGCAAATTATCTGTCCCTCGTAGAGACGCGTGTCGTAATGAATTGGATTGAACTCATACGGCAATCGGTCCCGCTTTCCAATCATACTCTAGTTGCGACTGTGTAGGCATATGATAAACGCTGTTGTCAGCAAAGGATGTCACGTAGGCGCTAATAGTGGACCGTAGAACCCTTTGGAATTACATAGCTACTAAACGAATCCTTATAACTGACAATGTATAAAATTTATGGATACCTGCAATGAAGGGCATTAACTCTACCGAGCGCCCTTAGCTCGGCCAATCAAAATTTGCGTTAGTCTAGTGAATCGGCCTGCGCTTTAACTCCGCAGTCGATAATCACGTGCGCGAGAAATGCCGTTCCTACTGAATATTACATAACAATAAGGATGCAAGGAATTGTAAGACGCGGACAAGGAACGCAGCGCTTCTGAACAATTAAGTCCAATTGGTGCACGTCGCTTTCCTGGCTAGGGTTCAGGAGATTGGCCAGACCAATGGTCTGAGACCAAACCAAACATATCACTCATGTTGGGCTCATTTGAACTTAACACTTAACTCCTCTATGGGAACCAACCCACTATCCACTCAGCAGAAATTGGAAGATGTGTCATGTTATATCTCAACCATCCGAATGATCACTGCAACCGCTCGGTGTAAACTAATCTTAACAAACGTCTCCGATGTGAATGGTCACAGGTTGTAAACCCATACTGGGCAGTCGTGGTGCACACCACTGACGAGTCCCGAATGGGAGTGCACTAGCTATCTGAGAGTACAGCTGTCAAGTCTCCTTATACATAGTAAGTTCCATGGTTGCTGACCCGCATTTTGTTCCCTCCCGGTGAAGTGGCATTTACACATTTCTTTCGTTCACTTACCCGATCCATCAGATAATATTTATTTCCAGATTTGCTTTCTGCCATTATCTGCTACCAAACCGCTGCCTTTCCTGCACTGATGATGTCACACCACCTGATGACGAAACGTCTGTCAGTCCACTGCGCAACATGGCGAGCAACTCAGACATCGGATTATCGTGTTAAATAGTTACTTCTTAGACGAGATGGTTCAAAGCAAAATCGAGCGTACGTCACCTAGGCATTCAGATCAATGCTGAGCTGTGCAACGTTTGACACTATTCAACCACGGAAAATAAGTTTGACACTTGGGGTGATGTTTCGGAGCACACACACACCCACACACAGACGAATGCCTTTGTCCAGACAGGTTATCTGGTATACTACCAAAGACATAACGCATCGGAACGCAGCTCAGACACAGTTCCAGGAGCTGGAAAAAGGAATGTCTGAGTAGTTCGCATGTGCCTTTCCTGAAGCCGGGTTGAGACAATGGTGAGCGTTTTCTGGAATGCTGCACCCACTGTGGGTAATAAGTAAGTAGGACAATTCCCAAACAAAGTGAACAGGGATGTGACGCATACCGTTGTTTGTAGGTTAGCTAGTGATTGGCTGTCATCATGAGCCACAGAAGACGTGGTTTAATCCTTGGAACACACCTAGACATTGATAACTTCTTTATCCAAGGTGACTCGATCTGAAGTTAAAAGGAAAACTCAGTACAAGATTCCCGCGATTATTGACCGAGGAGTTGTCTCAGGCTATGATTAGTCAAGTCTTTGACTAATTAGTCTGAGGGGAAGGAGTTTCAGTGGAATCGGACTTCCGCTATTATGCACGATTTGGTAGCGTCTAGTACCACTTACTGGGCCATTATGAATGAGACGCCAATGGCGCCTTAGGGAAATGTTTAACGATCTGGAAGGCAGTGGCGCGTGCAAATCCATATTGAATATTGCTCTCCCCCTATGTGAGACATAACCGTACCGGATTGATGTCCTAGGCGCATCCAAGGTTCTGACCACAGTTATGTGAGGAGAATTCCCTGTATTGGGTGGCCACACTGGAGTTCGTAAGTGAATGGTGATCGCGAGTGGTCAGGTTGGTTCTTTAGAACGAACATTAAATAAGTGGCGTTGGATTGGGAACGCGCAACGTGTGTCCGATCACGGCCAACTGAGGTTGACTTTGTTTCCCGGATGTTGAATGCCGAAAACTTGTAGGTGGGCAAAAGTTAACTTGGCATTGGGAATTAAGTGACCGATGACTGAACTAGGTTCTATTGATCCGTCTCGCCTCCCCAGCTGAAGTCGACTCCATTCAATTTGTGCTTGGCTCCAAACTTAACAGGATGTGGCTCGGAGCTGGCGACAGTGATGCGTCTAACATCTCCTAATCAAATTGACAGCTTGAACCGCGTCTGACGCTTGTTTATCCGTGAGATAACCCTGCTTATGAGGCGGTACGGTAAGAGCCGCAAGAAAGCTGTGGCTGGTGCCGTTTTATCCTCCCACGATATCCGTGACCATGTGCTGTGGACAAAGTGCAGATATGTTCGCTTAGAGCGTCTAGTTTCAACACGAAGTTCCCTCCTCCACGTTTAAAGTAGGATAAGCGAAATCAGTGGCTCACCAGTACTGATGTTTCGTTGTTTTACAACCACAAGCGGTAGAACATTCATGGAGATACCGGAAAAACGACACGAGCGAGGTCAAAATATGTACTGAGAACATTTAGATATCTCATTTGGATACCGTAAGAAGAGGGATGGGGTACACAAGAGTGCGAGTAAAGTTCAGCTGCTCCGTTCATGTGCCGGAGGTCTCCAGTTGGAAGGACAATGCGCAATGTTTCGGGGGAATGCGATGCATTCCTTCGATATCTGTTGATTAATGGCCTTCCATGACAATCGGTTATCACAGTTGCCAATGAACTCAAAATGAAAAGTTGAAATTATCAAAGCACAGAGTCCGAAGGGTCGATGGGACAACAGGACAAAAAGGAAATAGCAGTGCACAAAAAGGAACTTTCGGTGACAGTTTGTCAAGATGTCAATCGAAATAGGAGCGGAAGGAGACCCAGTGCACAGACACATAGATGTATGCGGGGATCTTTGGTGGTGAAATGCGAATAGTCACATCGAGTGTGTGGTGCAACTTTACAAGTCTTGCGAAGGACAAACAGGGAGACAGCATAAAGAATGTGACACCTGCGTGAAGGTGTATGCGCGTGTGTGCACAAATGGGTCGGGAAGGTGACAAGCGATTTGGCCGGTGTTGTCGTGCTGGACGCAAATAAAGTAGATGAACACAAAGTGCGAAAAAAAGAATAGTAGTGGGTAAACCAGGTGGAGGGGGTCTGCGACAACTCACACAATATACATGGTGAGGAAGAAGAGGGTGGTTGTGATGATCACAGCCGCACAAAATAACCGAGTGAGTGAAAACCGACGAGGCCATGCGCCATTCAGTCGGGGTCTGAACGAAGCCGAGAAGCAGCTGAGTGCCAATGTGATCAAGGAGCCGGTAATCGCACCGATAACCAGATAGAACACACAACTTATCAGGGAGAGTGACAGGTGGCCATCATTGAAGATGCCCTCACCTAGGAGGGCGAACTGGCTTTGACCATCGCCAACGTCTGGAGCGTTCAGAGTTGAAGATAACACTCCAGGAGGGTCACATGAGCCGGGTCCGAGTAATACGCTTTGTGGAATTCCACGGCTAAACAGGTAGAAGGAGGAAATGAGGTACAGAATAGTCCAAATGCTTGTGTAATAAGAAGACTAGATGCTAGTGCAATGTGCATTGAGAGATTGCTGCGATGAGATCAATGCAAGCTTGCAAATTGGTAATGCAGTTTTTGCACTTGTAAAGCAGCTTACGAAGACGATCGCGGTATGACAAATGAGTGCAACAGGTGAAAAATGAAGGCCACAAAAGTGCGCATAGAACGTGGTCATTAGCTGAAAATGCGCTCCCGTTTAGACTGGGATGATAAATACACTGGTGAGTTGGAAACAAGAAAAAAAGCTACGTAAATAAGTCGACAACGACGACTTCTTTGGGGCGAGAGTAGTGCTATGTGATGAAGTGCCCGCGCCAGTGGACTAAAACCGCCTCTATTGACAGAGCTAAATGATTATGGTGGAATGTAAGAGAATAAGTACAATCGGCGTGAAGTACTCCGGTTGGTACGGAACGATACGCGAGGTAGAAAATGCTTTTCTGAGTCTTCCAAGTTTCCAAACACAACATTTGGTGTGTAGTCATTGTAAGTGAACAAAGAAGTTGCTTTTGCTGTAGGTAGTGGAGGGTGTCAAGGAGGAGGAGGAGGAACAGTCTACCCAAATGGGTTTCACTACGGCGTGGTGAGCGCAGCACTGTATATGGCGTAAAGATGTCATGTCAGAATGGAATGCGCGATGGCGAGGAGCTTTCGAGTAGGTCATCCCTCGCCAGATTCAAACAGACAGTCGTTGTATAATCAGAAAATCGTTAGATTACCGTTTCCTCGTGCTGAGACTCTTCGGTAAAGCACATCAGCCCCTCAGCTAGGGCTCACTAGTAATCAGTAGTCTCCTTAGCAGCCTACACGTCACATCGAGTGGCGACGGTGTGTAGAGGAAGTTGTAACTCTGGGAGCCAGCCCAGGCCTCTGCAAGTTCATAACATGTATGACGATAAAGGGTAAGCAGTGCTCTAACGTAGTTAGATATCAGTCACAGCGGTTCGCCGATGTCACCCATGGCTCAGTTGCAGATCGCTGGCTCGAAGGTCACGGGTTCGAATCCGATAGGATTAGGCGGGTGCATGCTACCGACGAGTCCCAATAACACGAAACGGCCGTCTAACACTTTCCTTGCTATGTGGTGGCTATCTTCCAGAGTCCAACCGCGAGGAATCTACTCAGAAAGCCGGTAAATCCCTCGCTACTCACTAATAAGCAGTAGTCGCCTTAGCAGCTTACGTGCCATCGTGATTTGTGGTGGTTTGCCAAGAAAGTCGCAACAATGGAGGCCAGCCCTGTCCTCTGCAGGTTCACAGCATGCATGACGGTGAAGGATGAGCCGAGCTATATCGCAGTCAGAAATCAATCAAGCTTGTCTGCTATCGTCACTCATGGGTCAGTAGCTTCAATCGCCGGCCTATAAAAGTGAGGTTTGGCAGATGTGCGCCACAGACAAGTCCCAATAAGACGAAACGGCCGCACCGTGGCCTTCCGGATGTGTGGGGGTTATGTGACGGAGTTTGGCTGCGACAGATCTTGTCAAAGATCCCTAATGAAGAGAATGTTGGTGGCAAGTTTAAAAAGCCCAATGAAGCAATAACGACTTGCAAAATGGGTGAAAGCCATCTCAATCGCAATTCACATCCGGATGCCAACCTGGTGTGGGTCGAAGTTTCCAGGGGGGAATTCACGCAGGAATGGGACGCAATGATGTAAATAGGGCAGACACTAATAGAAAGGTAAGCGGAGCCAATGTCCAGACACGAGGTCACGCAGGGGCTTACCGCGGAGCACGTGAGTTGTCTGCTGCACGCGAAGGTCACATACACGAGCGGGGAACGACCTTCGACCGTTTTGCCAAATTTGGGAAGCGGGTGCAACCGATTGGCCAGCAATTACAAGCCGGAATCAAGGGAGGAGAACCATTCTGCCAAATTTGGAAAATCCGTGCGACAGAACCAACCCACATTGACTGAGAGCCAGACGTTTCCAAAACTAGTGTTTCGTTTAGCAATAAATAGAACTGCCCTGTCGTGTAGAATAGACTCCCTGTTTACCGAGCCTTGGTCTTCTCTATCCCATCAGTTGGTTGGGCGCGTGATTAAGCAATCAGGCGTTCGTAGTCTCGCAGGCGCAGACTAGCAGCAGTGCAGCAGTACGAAGGCAGCTTTACAACAGACACAAAATGGCATATGCAACCTATTTGTACGACTGACGGGTGGGCGAGAAAAGAAAATTGTCAAAATGCTGTGACCGTCGGCCTCGACTGTTTAAATGCATCAACAAACGGTTTAAACGATCCAATCTGGCTTTGTTTAATGAGCGACCACAAACGGATGATTTATTTCACAGAGTATAGTGCCGTGTGAAAAAATCCGAATCAGCGTGCTATGTCGTACGACATCTGTCTGGCACTATGAATGAAGCGACATCATTCACAAGGATGTTGTTTGCATTAACCAGCGCATCTACGCCATGTATGTTATGATGCGAGAGGAGAAAAACGCCTCACAGGGTCTTGCATAGCTGTCACCATAGCATTTGCGCCGAAATTGGTCTCAAATGGACAATAAAATTCTCTGGTTGCATTCATTTGAAGAAGGAAATGTGTAACAGTCCATTAAGGAACTAGAGAACGTGGAAAATAAAATGGAGTTGAAGGCAGACTGGCGAAAGCAGGCAGTTCTCAGACTTTCCTTCGAGGGGCTGGGTATGGACAGTGTTACATGGTGCGTGAAGTAGTCCCGTCAAGATCGACCTGGCCATTAAGAAGGCATGGGCAGCTATGTTCGACAACCAAGTTAACTTCCGAAATGCAACACAATGGCTCAAGGAAAATCGTCTTGCATCAGGGACGCATTCCGTTGCCATGGCGATCAACACTTGGAACCCAGTGAATGGCGCTTTAGTAGATATGGATGAAGTTGATGTATGAAGCCGAAAAAGCAAATCCATGAAAAAGCTGGCCAGAGGAAACAACTGATTTAAGACACCGGTGCGGAATAACGAGAGTGGTTTGCTACCACCTATCTCAAGCTAAGAGACCCCGGATCAAAGGGAAAAAGTGTCATACAACCCGTTCCTTTCAAAAATTTTAACAGAGAAAGAACAACGAACATTTCTGCGGAATATTCTGAATTCAGTGTATTTCGTGTATTCTCTTCAGCCGCTTACATACAATGGGTGAAAATTTCAAAAAATTGGGTTACATCTTCGTAGCTCATTTAGAGAACACCAAATGGTGTCACCCTATACAGGAAGCTCACTTGTACGCTCGATATATTAATGACACCGTTGTGGTGGTTGACAATGCCCAACAAGCAGAACGCATGCTCAAAACGTTTGATGAATGTCATCCAGAGATCAAATTCACCATGGAAAGCGATGCATCAGGAAAGTTCCACTTCTTGGATGTAGATTTGGAAAGAAGATCAGATAAATTTATCACAAACCGAGCTGGGCGGGGCGATGCCTAAACTTCGACAGCTACTGCCCCATGAGCTACAAGCACTCCCTGATTCGTGCATTTTTTGTGAAAGTTCGTCGTATCTGTTCAGAGAAGACGATTGAGGAAGAGCTACAGGGTATCGCATTCACCGTACGTGAAAATGAGTACCCTACTAAGTTCATTGCAAGCCATTGGGAGAAAACCCAAATGCACGAAGAGAGAACTGAAGCTTCAAAGAAGGGATTCTCTGCACTGCCTTACAAAGGGGAAACAAATGACGGACGGTTCTGCTGGTATGCCATAAAGAGATGTTACTATACAGCTGAGCTTGTGTTGTTTCACAGAAGGAAAAAGCTACTACTTGAATCCACTTTGGACAAGCCTCAGTCTACTGTCACCGCCTCATGTGTTTACCAGTTCAACTGTACTTGCGGTAGCATGTACACTGCCCGGACAGAGAGGTTGTCCGCTCGGATTTCAGAACACGTCCCGCGGAACCTTGCTCTCCGTGGCGCAACACTACCTACCAGCTCCGTTGCCCGGCACTTATTCGACTGCTCGATGTGCCAGAATCCCCACGAAGCATTCAAGGTGATCAACAGACAGAGTAACCCCAAGTTGTTGCGCTTTGCTGAGGCTTCCGCCATCCGGCGTTTGAAGCCTAACAACTTGAGTTTGTGGCCAATCTTGCTTTGCCTTGGTGAGACAAGACAGGCTAGCCAACGCAACTAACCATCGATGTCTGGTATATTGACCTATTACTCCCAATCGTATTAAATTTTCACCCATTGTATGTAATCAGCTAAAGGGCATACACGAAACCTACTGAATTCAGAATATTCCGCAGAAATGTTCCTTGTTCTTGCTCTGTTAAAATTTTTGAAGGAAAATGGTTGTATGACATTTTTCCAACAACAAATCTATCTCTGACTACTGTTGCTATAGTATTCTGACAAAATTAATATTATGAAAATCGGTGTGGTGCAAAATGACAAAGCCGGAGGCAGAAATGCTGGAGATGGAACATCCTGATGCTTGAAACAGGTGCACGCTTTGCAGACGTGATGCTCCAGACCCTCAAGTAACCACGGACATCACTGTGCGAGATGCAGACTGCGGGGCAGTATCCTATTCCGTCAAAAGTAGTCATAAAATGTGTGATGGTAGCTGGGATCGTGGGTGAACGGAGCCAACAATGGACCAATGGACAGAAAGCTATGTAACACCAGGCGAGTTGATCCTAATCGAGTGAGTTGCATAGACGGTGCAGAACTAGTCCGACCTAGAGCGAACGAAGTGCAGTGAAGCAGGGTTGTTATGGACAACAGTGGATAAACGGTAAGCGTGCTTAAAGAACGAGCTGACGAGAACGGCCACGATGGCAGTCAGTCAGTTATGTGTCACTCAAGCGAGCTGATAGTAAATGCACGAACCGAATGGACTCTGTATGAGTGAGAAACGTGAGAGAAGGTCACAGTGGCACCAGACACAGTAGGCGTGGGCTGGAACAAACACATTAGCATCAATATCACTAGCAGTATATGACCCACCCGAGCTGATGCCTCGCGGTCGTACAACTAAAGTGACCTAAGGAACGAAGACTAACAAGAGGCAGAGAAGGGGATCTACGGCAAAACCTTAATGCCCAAACAAATTCTCGGGGTCAAGGCACCTACGCATTGTCAACAACATACCGTCACAAACAGCTGCCTATCGTAACAACGCGGCATCAGCGAGACAGCAGCTTTGCGGATTTCATTGCCCTGCAACATAATCAACCATTATCCCGCAGCTAACTCAGTACCAATCACACTTGAGACAGGCAATCCGACTAGGGGACGACAGCAGACACGCCACTGGTGTCGAATGCGAGCCATGTCCTGTTACGCCTCGGACCAAGCACAAGACGGGTCACGTGGACTCCAGCCTGGAAGCCAAGACGGACTGACAGCACCGAGTTGGGTCGTCAGTGAATTCATTTCCAGCTCCCAAGTTAATTTTTGTCCACATCGAGATTTGCGCTATCCTACATCTGGTAAACAAAACAGGAACAAACACACTGGACAAACAAAGCGCGAGAGCCAGCGCACGACACAAGACAAACAACCATAGTGTATCAGACGAATACAGAGAATGGACTGCTATCGGTTGATTTGGGATTGGTTACTTAATGAATGGTACGCATTAAGAGGCATTTGTACCCGTTGCATGCAATTTGAGAGCGGCAACGCCTATGTCGAGAGATCCATGGAGGAATATGAGTTCTCTAAACAGAAATTTGATTCCGTTGTAGATGTAGTTGGATGAGAGAAGGAGGAATCTTGATCGTCACTCAAACTCCGGTTTGACAACTGGTGGACCATTCGACGTAAAACGTATGCAAAAAGGGAGTTGGGTTGCAACTCACCCAATCATGCGACATCGTTGTTCCTCGATCCGGGGACCCACCCTTTCAAGACTGTCGACAAAGTATGGACTCCAAAGACGCTCCGCGATACCGCTTGTCACGGGCCTGTGCAATAGAAAGAAGAGGAAACCAAACATGGATGAGTCGTGCGATCATAAGTAGAAAAGCATAGTTGGGTAAAGCATATTAAGTAGGACCATCAAAGTGTGCTGATCTCAGTCGCCACAGCTGACATCGTCAAAATGATAGTGAATGCACAGAAAGATGCATGAGTGAAAACAAGACGAAGTCTGCAAAATACAAACGTGGGCTGTGCACATTGACAAGGTTGGACAAGAGCCTCATTGACTCAGAGATTACGCCAAGCTGAGAAAGCACACTAGCCAATAGTGTGAACGATCACGAAGCAGCTATCTAAATAAACCTGCTTCCGGTACACTTCTTAAAGCTTTTTCTCTAACTGATGCGTGGGCCATCATGCAGCTTCATTTAACAAAGTGCAGTAACCGAATGCAGTTCGAGCCGAAATTGTTGATCGACAAGCCTACGTTCGACATGACTTGATCAGCGTAAACGGTTTACACTCAACAGAAGATCCGATAGGCACCAGAGAGCCAGAAAAAGTTCTTCCAATGCCAAACGGTAGTGTGCTTATCCAATTTAGCAGCCGTCTCCCACCTAGGAAGCGCAAAGCACATACTGTAACGCGCAGTATATCTACAAGCGCTTGCGTAGGCCCGATTCCAAGAGTTATAGCGCCTGAAACATGTCTAAGATGTAGACATTTAGTAACGTTTCAACTGGAAAAGCATGCAAAATAGGTGCCCTCGTGATCTTTGACACTGCGGATTTGAGCGGAATGGAGATAGAACGGTCCAAGACTTAACAGCCAGAAACACTTCATCTATCGTGGTAACAGAGGGAAATATTTATCAGCATTGGGATTCGCAGCAAACAGATTTTGGGAGAGAAGAGAGTTCCATCAGTAGGCACTTCACTTAGGCAATCACAGTGTGGAGCAACCGGTTAAGTGGTCACGTCGATCCGAAGAACCAAAATGTTGTGACGCTGCCGTTCGCCTCTCTCACTCTGCGCTGCCAACCAGGCGGGGAAAACAAAACGCCGAGCCTGCTAGACAGAAGTATATTAGGCACAGAACATTCTTACTTTTATAGGTCACATGCGCTCACCTCCCCGATATCACTGAGGTCACTCACATCTCTTGTCTGAACAGATTCGACTCTGGTAGCGGCCTTCACTGTCTGACTGTAGGTGGGATCATGTCCGCAACATAACCACCCGTGCGGCGATGACGGTCCGATTTCGTCAGCTTCAGGTTTGACCATGACAACGAGTCTGTCAGCCGCTCACGTGGTCTGGCCAATCTGGCCCCGTTAATGTGCACCATCGTAGTCAGCTGTATCGCCTCCGTGACAAAACGTTATACGTAACGCTCAAATGTAAAGAAGTGACTACGAAACGGGCTCTAATCCAACAACAAACCTTATCACTAAGAGGAATCAGCAGATTTCACTGAGAGTTTACCACAATAGTTTTCAAGTCAGATAGCCTTCAGAAGTCCGGAGAAGCAGTAGATCGCTCTATTGGGACCTGTGAAAGCGAAAATAGCTCGGCTCAATAATGAACCGAAACAATGACCTCCAAACACAAGCTGTCATGAAGCAACGGCTTTTGCCGGTAGGCTAGGGATGATGGCGACAGACCGCCGAGACTTACAATCTAATTGCGATATAGCGTGACTTATCCCCCACTACTATGTATTACAAACGATGCAGATGGCAGATGGGTTAGCCCCGAGAGTCATGGCTTTGCAAAATATAAGCTAACTATGACAGCAATTGGAAGCTGTTGGCACGAATGTTCTGATTACTCATGAGCAGGGGATTAGCGATTCCATTTTTTGTTGAGTTCAGCAGGGCACTCGAATGTGGTTGAGAGAGAGAGCATGGCCACTGTTGACGCCAAGTGAATACCCTGTGGAGTATTGGCATACACGGTGAGATGGCTAACACAGTTCATAACCCGTCATACAGCACTTTCACCCCATTTAGCTGGTGACAGTGAAACCTGCGTACTTCCGGGTCAGATATGAAGAACACATTGGAAACAAGTGATCAGTACAAAAGCTGGTATCAGGTAAACCACCAAATCCCTCTAACGCTGGGTGACATGAGGGGCTGTTAGTACCTATAGCCAAATACAAGGAGCCATACGGGATGCTTGTGAGATATCACCAATCTGGTCCCAAATATATTGAATACTGAAAATAGAGAGCTATGCGTTACTCTAACTATGTAGCATCGGGCGCACACGTGTAACAAGATCACTCATTGCCGCACATTGTCAACGTTGTTGCGCTATGCGACACCCTATTAAGGTGGGATGCGTTCTGGAAATCTATGACTCGAAACTCAAACACTGCAAGTGCTCAGGTGGTGGGTGAATCAACTAAGCATTGTCATTCGAAGGATGTGGACAGCGTAGTAGAGGAAGAATGCAAACGACGCGAGGCGTACGTTCCGTGGGTGAAGTATTGCAATAGCCCGATGATATCGGGTTGCAATGACTGGTAGGCATCTTAAGCGAAGCAAATGATGTCACGTACACTGGTTAAATCTATCAGACAACAACAACAACAACAACAACAACAACAACAACAACAACAACAACAACAACCGGAACCCAGGTACCAAACCAGATTTAATTACAGCCAAGACAGTGAACTGCCAAGAAAGAAATGCTAAGAAGTCAAAGGCAAGTTTGGGTGAAATCTTAACGGCACGCACGTAGAAAGTTGCAACAGGACAGGCTAGTGAAGGGCGGTGGACATGGGTGGAATCAGAACGAAGCAGGAATCAGTCTTAATCACCAAATTGGTGTATTTTCTCAGGCAGCAACTACCACAGTAAGCGTAAGCAGGCGTAGACACACACACATATATGCCCATGAGGCAGGGCACGTGCTTTGCGACTGGTTGGGGGACTCATCCATCACCCGGTCGCTGTCAGCCTGTGGAATGGAAGTTGTCGGAAAGTATGTTAACCGGGAGTCTCGCGGTCAAGTCCGAATTCTACATGCTATACCAATTTAACTGCACCTGCGGTGTGAGGTACGTAGGCGTCTGTACAAATGGACAGCGGAGCACCGTCCAAATGCATTGCAGAAAGATACCGTCAATTGCATCCTAGAACACGTGGTCGAAAGTGGACACCATACACGAACTGCTGATGCTTTCCGAGTATTTTATGTCGTGCCAAAAGGATACCGCAAAGGTCTCAGGAAACTACAATTACAGAGACCCGAAGCCATTTGGACAAGGCTAACAGAAAACAGAGCGCACTTATCCAAGCTCTGCTTCATCCAGACAGCTTTCACTCCATAGTTTGACAGCGACCGGGTGAAGGGATGAGTCATCCGACCAGTCGAAAAGCAGGTGTCCTTCCGCGTGGGTATATATGTGCCTACGCCTACTTATGCTGTCAGAGTAGAGAGAGATCAATTTGTGAATTAAGACAGCTTAGTTTCCGTATCGTTCTGATTCCACCTCCCTTCACCAGTCTATCTTGTTGCATCTTGCTAATTTTAAACGCTTGATGAGATGTACCGAAAAGAGTGCTGTTCGCAAGCCTGTGTTCAAAGGTTTACGCGAAATTTGTTATACACTGGTTAGAGTGGAAGGCCACGAGACACTCGGAAAAGCACTAGGTAGCAGTTTTATCTCGCTTGGATTCACTAGCGGTGAGCGGTATCCCCGATTCCAAAGTACGATAAAACCACTTGAAGTATCCAAATAGCTATTGGCTGTCCAACACCAATGGGGTTTACACACAAAAACAAAAGTGAAAAGGTAATCAGGCGATGCCAAATGATAAACAATGCCCTAGAATTGTTGATAAAATAAAACAACACATGAGGATATTTTCCTCCTGCTCCTACACAACCATCGCAATGAGGCTGGACCTTACCGTGGTGCGATGGTTTGTGTGCCTCAGCGATCCATTGAGCTACGCTGGGTGGTGCTTTTGCACCTTCAGAATCACTCATACCAGATTGGTCAATGGTTAGAGGCCAGACAAACTCAGCCTCCTGGTCCTCCAGGTTGCGGGTTGGAATGAGGGTGGCACCTTATTCCTTAAAATGGACTCCTTGTAGCCCAACGCCAAACCCGCTGCCTTGCGGTCAGGTTTTTGAACCAAAGGCTTTGGTTGAGAACCCTAATCGTTCTCCTGTCTAGGCCTGGGCAACCTGACAGTATCCTGCCCACGCAATACTATGAATTTTCCTTCAAACAATTTCTTGATGCTCTGGCCACCGCAGAGGATAATAAACGGTGCCCTATCTGCTGCATCGAGCAGGGTGGATAGGGGTTTGGATGCTACTGCTCAAGCCTTCCTGTCTTCTTATTCCCCCCTCTTACGCTTTTTCACTCTTACCGTCCCATTCCAACTTCACTTATATCCCACCAGTTTTCAACCCCCCGATTCTTGGCCCTCCCCCAACATGCTTTGCTAGGCATTTACCTTCTAATTTCAACTCACACGTGAACGCGGAGCGTCACTCCTCTCCTGTCGACAAGTCCATGTCCAACCAAGCGGTCCAATCCAGTTCATCGGCTTCCATTTGGAGCCCTCGATCCTCCTTCAGATTGGCATGCCTCAATGTACGCACACTGCTACAAATCGGTCAACAGGCAGCACTTGCCCGAACATTGGAGACCCTCTCGATCGATATCTGCTGCTTATCAGAGACTCGCCTGCAAGACTCGAGCACTGTGCTCACTCTGCGATCCCCTTCAGGTGACGCAAGCAGTATTTTCTCCTTGCGCCTATCCGGTGACGATGCAGCTTCGAGCACCGGCCAAGCCGGTGTTGGTATTGCCCTGAGTCCCCGGGCTGAAGCTGCTCTGGTTGATTGGATTCCAATCAGTAGCCGGATGTGTGCGGTCCGATTGGCTGGCTCGTTTAAAGCTTCGAAGTCGCGCGGGACTAATAGATGTCTATTCATTATCGCTGCCTATGCGCCCACAAACTGTAGCGATGATTCGGTAAAGAACGACTTCTACCGCCAACTGACCCAGCTCCTTCGCCACAGAAGAAGCACGGACACTGTTGTGCTGGCGGGGGATATGAACGCTCAAGTTGGAAAATTATCCACTGAGGAACTGCATCTGGGCGGTCAACACGGTGTAGGATCCCGTAATGATAACGGTGAGCGGTTACTTCATTTGTGTGAAGATGCTCGCTTATTTCTTGCGAGCACTAATTTCCGACACAGCACCCGCCGAAGGGTGACTTGGCGCCCACCAACCTCGAACCAGCCTTGCACGCAGATCGATCACATTGCGATAAGTTACCGCTGGAGAGGCTGCATCCAGAACTGTCGCTCGATTTGGAACACATGTGTGGACACCGATCATGCACTTGTATGTGCTGACATGTGGATGCGTTTTGGCGGACGCCCACGACGACGCTGTGAGCGTATTGACACCAGCCAACTGACAAAACCAGCTGTTCTGAATGCGTATCGAAGTACGCTAACATGCGAGTTGAGCAAGCGCTCACTAGAGACAATTGATGGTCACTGGTCACATGTTCGCCAGACCTTACTAGCAGCAGGCAAATCCTCATGTGGTATGTCTAATAGACAACATGGACATTGGGTCTCTTCGCAGTCTCTGGAACTTATAGATGCCCGCCGGCAAATCCCGGCTGGAAGCGAGCACAATGAAACTCGCAAAGAGCTCCGGGCAAAACTCCGTGTTAGCCTGAAGAGAGACCGCGAATCTTGGTGGTCTCATCGTGCGTCAGAGATGGAAGTGGCCGCTGCCCTTGGCAACCATTGTAAGTTATTCCGTCTGATACGGGAAACGGGCAGCAGGAGACCTGGTGTTAGTGAAACTATACGTGACGAGAGTGGACAGCTTATCCACAATTTGTCAAAACGTCTGGAGCGTTGGGCTGAGCATTTTGAAAAGCAATTTAATCGGCAAGAATTGTTCGATTCGCCGGTCACTGATCGCCCCGCTCCGTGGGCTGTCCCTTTGGATCCACCCTCTCGCTCAGAAGTCGAACGTGAGATCGGACTGTTGAAGTTGAACAAAGCCGCGGGACCAGATGATCTTCCTCCAGCCCTCTTCAAATTTGGAGGCTCTGCTCTTGTTGATGCTTTACATGAATTACTAGTGAAACTGTGGGAGCAGGAAACTGTCCCAACCGACTGGAGCCGCTCCGTTATTGTTCCCATCTTCAAAGGCGGCTCGCGCTCGGAATGCGGAACCATAGAGGAATCAGTCTGATCTCCATCGCCTCCAAATTACTCGCGTCCATAATTCTCCACAGACTGACTGGCGCTCGTGAAAGCCAGATTCGTGAGGAGCAAGCCGGGTTTCGTCGGGGTCGTGGCTGCATCGACCACATCTTCACCTTGCGTCAGTTGTTGGAGCACCGTCACACATATTGGCGGCCCACCGTAGTCGTGTTCCTCGACATCAAAGGTGCCTTCGATTCGGTTGATCGATGTGCCCTTTGGAATTGTCTACTCAGGAAAGGTGTGCCCGAGAAATATGTAAATATTATCCAAGCATTATATGCGCGTAGCACGGGCAGAGTAAGGGCTTACAGCAGGCTGTCGCCACCCTTCAATATCTTCAGCGGTGTGAGACAAGGATGCCCGCTGTCACCTTTCCTATTCAACTTCGCTATTGACGAAGTCATGGAGATTGCATTTACAGGACATGACTTGGAAGGTGTGGAGCTACTCCAAGGAGAACGACTTCTTGACTTAGAGTATGCAGACGACATTGCCCTCATCTGTGACAGCTCCGAGACGTGTCAAGCCGCGCTGGACAGATTAGCACTGGCTGTCAGTCGCTTCGGGCTTTGCTTTGCACCACCGAAGTGCAAAGCGTTCCTCCAGGATTGGCAGGGTTCGCCCCCTGTGCTGACCCTTGGTGGGGATCAGCTAGAAGTCGTTCAGAAACTCAATTACCTGGGAAGTTGTATCAGCGCCCTTGGGATCGAAGACGAGATCACGAACCGCATAGCGAAAGCTCGAAGTGCTTTTGCTAATCTTCGCCACCTATGGCGACGGCGCGACATTACTCTCGCCCTGAAGGGTAGAGTGTACAATGCAGCGGTACGTTCGACCTTACTGTACGGTTGCGAAACCTGGCCCCTAAGATCGGCGGACATGAAGAGGCTACTTACGTTCGACCATCGGTGCCTTCGCAGTTTGGCTCACATCTGGTGGGAACACCGCGTGAGTAACGAGCGTGTTCGACGCCTTGTTTACGGCCTAGGAAAAGGGAATGAACCGCTCAGCACCGTCATTTCACTCACCAGGCTCCGATGGCTGGGCCACGTGTTGCGCATGCCAGCCCACCGACTCCCTCGACGTGTGTTGTTTGCTCACCGGGGATGTGGGTGGAAGAAGAGGAGAGGTGGCCAAGCGATGACTTGGTCCAGAGGAATGAAGGCCCTCACTTCGGAGCTGGCCTCAGTTGGAGCTTCACGGCTCCCTGGTTGGGGTCCAAAAGACGGTGAACACGTTTGGCTGGATACACTTGCTGATATGGCAAGGAGCCGACCTCAGTGGCGTTCCTGCTGTGAGTTTCTTTGTCCCTCCCCATCCCTTTAGCCTCCCCCTCCATCTACGATCTTATTTCGTAGGGTAAAACGTAATTAAATTTTTGTTTTTGCCTAGTAGCCGGCTAGTAGCTTACCGGAACGATGCGTATCCGTTGCTGGTAGCTCAGCTGGCATTCAACTGTCGTATTTATTTTTCCTTTATGTATTGTATGTATGTATGTATTTCCTTTATGTATTGCGGTACAATAGCGGAGGTGTTTTACCATCTCTAGCTGACATGTATAATGATGATGATGGTGATGCTCCTACACACAAAGGACAACGCTGAATGAGCATTATACTCCGTGGCTACACATATTGCGATGATCTTGCAGTAGAAGTGAATGGAAGCCAGGTTCAAGGGAACGTCAGCAATGAGACACACGTGTGAAAGTTATACGTCATCGAATGAGTAGCTCACCATATTTTTTGCAATATTGTATCATCCGACTGATATTCTGACCACATACTTGCCTCACCACCAAGAATGATTCTTCGCCCAGCAGACTGGGGGCCAAGCTCTACGATAGGAAGAGGGAAAGCATAAAAGAGAAGGGGAAAAAGGGCTTGGGAATTAATTCAATATGCTTGCATGATTATGAGGAAAACTCGCGCATGTGGGTAGGTAATACATGATCACATGGACAGTAAGGGAGTGCGAATGGACAAACTGACAAAAAGAAGACCGAAAAATCAGTTGAGATGAAATCACCCAAAAATAAGAATGCGTTTTGTGAGCACGAATGCGGCAGCCCCAGTAATGCGAAAGCGAAATTTGAAGTAATTGCATCTAGTTCCGACAGATTCAGGATAACGATAGTTAGATAACGGAAACAAAGCAAATAACAAACAATTTGCATGTGAAACGATGCTAGAGTGAAGTCAGAACACCCGTTCGTAACTCCCCTATAAATTAGGTGGTACGCAAAATGGTGGAAGCATTTACTGGGGTTGGTATAGATATGGCTCAGGTTGCAAAAGAGATACAGGTTTCGGTAAACTCACAAACGTGACCATATAAATCGCGAGACCACAGTTCAGCGTAAATCAGAGTGGTTAGTACGGTAAAGCACGCGAAATCCAGTCAACTTGATTTAATTCACCGTAAAATTATGGTAATAAAACAACAAAAAAGCGAAAAAGGAAAACAGCTCATTCAGAAAGAGTACACAAAAACTACTAGAGGAGATCGTCCACGCCCCCATTTGCATGCTGTTAATGAACACAGAACAATGAGTCATCACGGATAAAGCAAGTACTTTACGAATCATGTTAGGTGAACAGATGGGAGTTTTCAGAGAGATGGAGTATCCCTTAGTGAGGGGCCAGCAGCTTCTTTGGACGTGCATACGAAGGTTTAGCTAACAACGCAAACAGGTGGTCGTCACTAAGATATTTCCTTGAAACTCGAACTTCCGGAAGATATTGCATGTAGAAATGCAGTGCGCGACGACGCACAGCCACCTCGCGAACACCACCAGCAGTCCACCAACCAGGAATACTGCGCCAATGCTGATTAGAACCAGTGACTTGGTACATACGAGGCAGATACATCACACCAATAGGCCACTGGCCGCATGTTTAGCCTGACCTTCTTATTATGGCCAATGCGGGGGCGGGAAAGGCTGATTTCGGGAGTGCAGGTTAAAACTTGGAGAAACAAACAGAAGAACATCCAAAGTTATGCCAAGCATATTCATCGTTCCGTCAGTTAGACGGACCTGTCTTACATAGCTGCTATTATTATCGAGCTGCAGCAGACGGGTACCGATGGAGTGAACAAAGGAACAATTGTATAACAGGGATAAAAAGCCAAGGCTTGACAAGTCCCGTGGGATGGTTTGTGTGAATTACCTAAGTTCAAAAAGATGTGCCACTAAAGAGACATGCACTTCTGTGGACTCACATAATATTCACGTTAACACACAACTAAAGCAGTTCACCCCGATTTCGTGGGGGTTGGTGAACACCATGGTTGTGTCTGCATCTTGTCACTCGATGAACGACATTCAAATCAACTAATGCAGATGATGTAATGTATTGTCGAGTCGTTTTGTAAAATTGGGTAGCGTGGGTGCAGAAATGACAACGTCTAACAAGCGTTACACAGTTGACACATTCGAAGAGAAAAAGAATTTCGTCCGCATTCCAATCGAGTGTATTGAGTGATCAGTTTCAGCTAGTGATCACTCAATTTTGTGTTGCGGCTAAGTTTCAGAAAGTCTGACAGGGGTTTTCCAAGATCCGGTACCCCAGAATGAGATCGCTTCGTTGACCGCGATAACTTCCGCTGCAAAATCCTAAAGTTTTCAGTCGCAGATGGTATGACAGATGGAACATTTTTACTTACTCTTCGCTGTGTGGTCTCCAGTGCAACCAGATCGCGTTTTAACTAGGGTTGTCAAGCCTGAATCATGTACACTACATGGGGCCTAACACGCGCTGTGCATCTGAGCGGAGATGTGGGGGGGGGGGGGGGGTCGAAACACCCGAGCGCCCCAGTAAGAGACAAACATGTTGGTTCGCGATTTTGGACGCCTTCATAGACTGCGCTGAACAGCCGAGGTTGCCTTGCATGCCCAACACAAGGTCGCGCTGCTGCAAGACGGATTCAGCATGTGGTTTTCAAGCTTGTGTTACGGGCCTGTGGCGTACAAGTGCAGTTTTGCACTTGCGCGCGTTGAACAGAAGTAGATTTGCCTTTGACCATTCAAAAGCATGGTCTGAGTTCCGCTGCAAAATATCCTGATTTCCCTGACCTCTGATCGTCACCATGTCTTGATTTCATCGAGAAAATCAGGAAATTCGACTCGGTGACACGTGCAAGTTTGTTGACGAAGACCAAGAATGAGCGTCGTCCCAACACCGACCCTTGTGGAACACCGCAGTCCACATCGATAGGATGTGAAAATGAGCTCCGAACTCAAACCTGAAGCCGCCGCTAAAGAGGGACATTTTCGATCTATCTAAGGACAAGTTACCCATCTCCATATGTCCGCAGATTTCAGAGAATGATGCGGTGATCTACAAGATCGAAGGTTTAAGCGAAGTCGAGACAGATGACATCAGTGATGGTCCCACTGCCGCCTATTTCGGTCCAACCACCACGCACAATCGCTCAACTACTATTACATAACAGGTTCTAACGGAATGCGTGTTGCTGTAGTGTTATAATGTTAGGATCTTTCTATACGTCCCATCAGTGCCTCGGCTGTGATCGACTCCATCACTAGGAGGAGAATCACTGGGAAATAGTTAGCGGGCTCCGAGCGGCTACCACCCTTGAAAAGGGGAGTAAGGATATCCATCATCCACATGCTAGGAACCTGCTATTCATCCAGGCATCTTTGGAAATATCAGATTGATGGCTCTGCTATCCTCACAGCTGTCATGTGCAGTGTTTTTAACTGTAGCTTGTCAACATCGGGGGAACTATAGGTGCGCAAGGATAACAGCTTCCAAAAAACGACCGCTGAACTAAAAGTGACATGCGTTAACACTGGCGTCTGAAGGAATGGGACAGGTATGTGACACATGCTGGTGGCGCACCGGAATACTGAATCCGTAGAACGTTGACTGCATTCTCGGCGGTTTAAGCACATCCACTTGTTGAGATAAGTGGAAGAAGACTGCGCTTCTCATTCCGGAGGCTGTTCACATGTCCGTACAGTAGCTTGTTGCTAGCACAAAACCTTTCCGCTGTGCTCTGCTGGTGTACTAATCTGTTCTCACGGACTAGTGTGGCACAGTGACTACGCCGAACTAAATATTTGCTCCATTCCTCAGGACTAGTATTCGCTCTGTACACATCCTACGCTGTCTCTTGCCGTCATGCGTTTTCGGGTTCTACTCCGAATGAATGATGGTGCTCTTGTAGAACGAATGGGCTCGGTTAGCAATGCGGATCGAATCAGACCCCTGGAATTGCCAACAAACTTCATCCATGCAGTATCAATAGGACAGTTGTCCGAAAACACCCAGATGACTTCACCAGCAAGTTCTGTACAAAACAAGTTAGTTTGTTCTTGTGGATAGTACACAAAACACACAGTCATAAAGTATTGTTATATGATCACATAGTCACCCCACCCCAGTGGGCGCTCCATCGTTGGCTGCCCGATCATGAGCACGGAACCAAACGCAGATGGTTCATTTCCCACTCTGAATCGGGTGGGTGCATTAACATGGCTGAAGAGTGGAAAGCTTGCAACAAGATCTTGCAGCTCGGCGTTGAATTACTCGCTGCGCGGTGCCGTAACTTCCATCTCGTGAACACTAAAGTCGCTTGAGATGAGGACATGGCTGCATCGTGGTCGCAGGACGCTCCCCAAAGCTAACGGTAGAAGTGAGTCCATCGATGGAGTGGATATTAGGAGACGATAAAAAATTACCACAAGGCAAGTGTCATTGCGTCGCAATCACAGACTACAACAAAGTCAATTTGTTATCAGAGTACCCGCATCATGTACCGGTTCGCACTGCAGGTCGCCGTGGTAGTTCGGAAGTAACCACCCCCCTCTCCCCCGCGTCTCCGCCGCCCTTGCTGGAGCGATCGTTTCGTGCAAGCGACACACCACGTATCGTGACTCTGGCGTCCGCAATTATTCAGCGTGGACAAGGTTAAGTTACGAATAAGAGGTCTCAGGCGTATGATGCTTGACGTAGCCGTAGTTAGGTAAGTTTGTTCAGATCTTGTGCATCGGTGTACATGGAGGAAATTTTCTCTGTTCTCAGCAGTGATTCGGGGGAAGTGTTTTGGGTGAAATGTCGGCCACTGATTGTTTGTTTTTGGGTGGGGCGATAAGGAACGCATTTGTATCGGATCCAGGATTCCTGCCATTAGCTCTTTGCTCAACACTTTGTATGTAGTGTATGGGGTTTGTTGACCAGTTTCGTCGACCAGCCAAGTGATGTTATCTGAAGTAGGCAAGAGTAGGTAAGCTATGATGCACTAGCTGGGTTACCGATGATACAGCCCGCTTAGTATTTCAGTTCCTTCTCCTATGGTGGTAGATTGCGTATTTCAATGATATGTTCAGTGACCTGCCGTTGAGGAAGTTCCAAAGCAATAAGATGGTGTTTTCTCCATGGCTTTCAAACTTGGAGCGCATTTTTCACATGGAGACGAAACCAAGTGTTGAACACTTGAAGTAAAGTTGTATCTAGGGGCTCGTTGCCAGGTTCGATGCATTTTCGACTGCTTGGACGAACGCCAATCACCCTGAACCATTACAGCAAGGAGAAGTTAGATAGAAGAAGCTGTGGGAGAGTGTGCAAAAATACGGCAGGAGGAGCACTTTAGATACATCAACGTTCAGCTGCAGCAAGTTTCGGGTAGGCCATTCAACTACCCCAGATAGATCGCACTGAGCAGAAATCACCGTATCACTTCGTATATGGATTTCTGGGAATCCGGTTTGACCCATCATCATACCTTAGATGAATGTAGGGTGGTGGAATTTACAGTTTGTGCCTCATGCACGCCAGGTTGCACCGCGCGGTGTGCAGTAACCTCAAGTAATACGCTGCACCGCCTATCCTCAGCATACTATTTATTAGTACTATATGAAAGATGTTGACTGATAAGGGGATAGGGGGATGTAGAAAAAAAGAACAATAAGCGTGAAGTTTATTAGACTCACTTGTTTCCGGATCACACAGATAGTACGATCCCCAATTGCGTATTCTGAACAAGTTATCCAAATACCAACAAGAGGAATAGATGAGATGTTTGGTGTGTGGAATATCCATTGCCGAGTCCGGTTTCCAAATTTGCATGACCAACGAATCCAGCACCTGTGGGTAAGTAGGACGGATAGGGGTATGAACGAGAGAGTGAGTTAACGGACTACGCATAGATGAGTGAATAAAGCGGCGCCGTCGTACTTCACAAAGTGGTTGTTGACAATCACCATTGGTTGTCCAGGTGTTTGTTTCGGTAAAAGACAACACGCACATGTAAGGCCTTAATTTTTGGGCCACGTAGAGACTAGGTAAAATTACCGGAAATAAGGAAAATTATGACGGGTGCAGAGACCGGCCACAGGAAAGTGAATCTGCCTACTAGCGTTTCATGTTTTGTATCGTGGATGCGGCGGGCCGTCGAGTGGATACGCGTGTGATTAGTGTTTGGTTTTAACAGAAAAATGAGGCAAGCTGACCGCCTACTCGTTCAAATGTACACACGGTGGTTGTCCGAATGTCTCAGACATCATCATGGAACTGCTCTGTAGACAGGAGGCTGCTACAATAACTGTATACATCGGTTACAACAAAAAAGTGCAAAGACCCCGAGGAAGAGGTGTCGGAAGGCTGGGTGCATTTGATTGGAAAAAAAACTGGGTGCAGGCAAACCTAGCAAAGAAAATAGCGGGAACAAGTGCTATGTTGATAAGAATGTCAATAAAGATCATCATTATTGCATCCATTCCAAAAGTATGTGGGAAATACCTCAGCTATTGTGTCGCAGTATAATTCAATCAGGTGAGAGTGAAAAAGAAGCCAAACAAAAAGTGTAATTATGCTTTTTTCTAGGCATTAAAATAAGGTGGTGTGAGCGGGATGAAGAAAATCCCCACACAGAGGTCATTGTGGTCGATCTTTCGCCATGTCGTCAAGTGTATCCAACAGAACGTGGTCATCGCCTTTCCGACCTCAATCAGGAAGTCGAGGAGCCCCAACCGAAGTCAATTCTGAAGTAAAGGTCTTCATTCCTTTTGACCAAGTCATCGACTGGCCTCCCCTTTCCTTCTTCCATCCAGACCTCTGGCGCGCAAACAATACACGTCGCGAAAGTCAGGGTGCAGGCATGTGTAACACGTGGGCCAGTCAACGGAACCTAGTGTCCGATATAATGGTTCCGAGTGGTCCACTCGATCTTCCTGCGTCAAAACCAAGAGACGGAACCACTTATCACTTACGCAGTGTTCCAAATAGGTATGAGAGCTAAGCTGCGAAGGCAACCGTGTTCAAACGTAACAATCTTCCTTATGTATGTCGATTTGTTGGGCCAAGATGCACAACCGTACAGGAGGACTGAACGCACGGCAGTATCCTAGATAGTCATCATCCAGGTCGAGTGATGTCGTGAAGGCGCCATAAGCGGCGAAGCTTTGCAAAAGTACCCCAAGATTTCAGAGATCTATGGACAATTGGTGGATTTATTTGGTTGGTTATACGATCCGTGATCTCATCCTCCATCCCACAGGCCCGGATACAGCTGCCCCGGTAGTTGCATTTCTGAAAGACATCAAGTTGACTCTCCCAAAGTGTCAGCGCAGAGGAATGGCTGTCAATCTTGGAGGAAGGCTTTGTACTTGGGGAGGGCAAAGAACAGTCTCAGACAGTTGACAGCCAGTGCAAATCTATTCAGTGCTGTTTGGCACATTTCTAAGCTGTCACAGAAGTGGATAAGGTCATCAGCACACTACAAGACAAGAAGTCGTACATCTGAGAGTAGTTCCACACCTATCAAATCGTGTCCAATCAACGCGATCTTCATGACTTCGTCGATAGCGAAGTAGAAGAAGAATAATGACAGCGGGCATGCCCCTCATACACCGCTGGAGATATTGAAGGGCGGCGACAACTTGTCGTAACTCCCACTCTATCCGAAACACACACGTAAAGCGATCTGAAAATCTGTACCTATTTGTCGGGCACATTATTACTGGACGAACAATCCCAAAGGGCACATCGATGCACCGAATCATAAGAAAAATGATTACGGTAGATTTCAAAAGATAATAATAAGAATAATACGCCAGAGCATTGGTGATAGTCACTAGAAAATAAGCCGTGACGTTCCTACCGGTCCTTAGAATAATTCATAAACACCAACATTTCGACACGTTAACCATAGGCAAATCTCAATTCTCCCAATGAATCCCGTCGCTCAGCCGGATAAGAGTGAGCGCGTTTTCAGGATCTATATGCACCCGTATTCCTAAAACACAACAGAATGATTTCGGTTGAGGTCCGTTTCAGACTCCCTTGCTCGATGACAACAGTGCGTGCAGGTGACGTACTGGGTACTCATGCGAAAGAGGTATTACTCAATGGAGCAAGCATGGGTCTTGCTGTGTGCTGTGGGTCCCCAGTTCACTGGACATCATTCGGAAATGGTCCTCAAAACCGCGTGTGTAAACACGAGCAATACGACAACGCTCAGCATACAACCAGCTAGCCAATAATCAAGTCACTCACCCACCCAAACTCATGTGAACAGCAATAATATACTTGATTTCTGAGAGATTTGTGGACAATCGGTTAGCTTCTTTGATTGGCAACATTCCGCATTTGACACAAAAGCTTCGTCATGACAGGTGACTTGGTATATACTTGGTGTGGTAATTTACAGCGAGTGAGGGAGGTAATCGTGGCAACTGAGTAAAGAGGCTCTTACGGACACAGATGGAAAAGTCCTCTCAAGTGGTCAGTCAGAATGGGGTAATTGTCAGAGTTTCACTGTCACATTGAGAGCTACGAACATAAAAGGCACATTTTATGGCCAACGAAGAATGAGCTTGAAACTGTCGTAGCTGTACATACGTTGGATACCGGGCATCAGATCGATTTGGTTAATGTCAAAATCGTTAAGAAGGGTTTACGAGCGAAGCCCCAGAGCATAATTACCGAGGCGATGAAAATCGCTAAAGCTGATAGCCGTGTAAAAAGAGCGGAGGGGTGGAACTCACGAATGAGGGGAGAGCAATCTTAAGCCGGCCAGTCTGAAGATCATCCATATGCGGGTCAGACTGGATAGCAAAAGCGACGTCGTCATCATCACCAAGATGTTAGCTGACAACATGACGGACAGGGAAACCCCAACAATTGCCCCCATACTAACGGACCACTTGTAAGGACCTTTCCATCTGTGTCCATAAGAGCCTCTTTACTCAGATCTCAGTTGTCACGATTATCGCCCTCACCCGCTATAAAATACCACACCAATTGTGTACATATTCACTGGCCTGACGAAGCTTTTGTGTCAAAAGCGAAACGTTGTCAATCAAAGAAACGAACCATTGTTCACAAATCTTACTGAAATCATGACTGCTCAGTCGGTTCCAAGTATATTACAGAAGTTCGAAGCGATAACATATATTTGCCTTGAGAAATGGTGGATTAGAGGACAGAAATGCTACTTGGACTTGTAGTATTCGTGACTGATAGGAGACGTATCAAACCTAATACGTTCATAATGTAAGCATGGATGAGCCGTATCGATGCTAGTGGTTGTAACCAATAAGCGCAAACAGTCGATGAAAATGGAAGCTTGGGAGGAGACCGGGCAGAAATACGAGCCAATGACAGAGAAGCTGGACCATAGATCGATGCCACTAGCTGTATAGTAAGTAGTACGTTTCTCTTTTAGGTAATAGGCGTTTGAAGGCAGACTACCAACGTTTTAGACGGTTTAAACAGTCCCATCTTCAAGTTAAAATCAAGCGCATAGGTAAGCCAAAACATAAAAAGGATTCAATCACGCACCTCAGACACATGTTGCAAGACTTCTTGCCAGATGATTATTTTTCGTTGCTTGCCAGGCTTCTGCACTCCGATATCCGTCATCGTATTCTGGACTCTGAAGGGAAGAAAGATGAGACCCAAATGTGCTCTAGCTGCAAACACAAGTGTTACCACGACAAGAGTAAGAAGATGTACAAAGAAATGAAATTGATCAGAATGTGGAGATTTGACGTATGGGAGGAATAGGTCAGTAAACAGATAACAACACACAGCAGCAATAGCACTACATCAGTACGTTGTCATGCGACGACAAGAATCATACTAGACAAGAATATGAAGAAAGATAATGCAAAACCCGAATGCCATGAGCAAATGTTTATGACGAAGGCAACAACGCACTGTTACAGAGAGTTGGTTACCCTGTAAAGATGAGGTGATATTGGAGAGACAGATTCCTTGTGGTTTTCACTGCTCCGCATCATAAGTAGACTTAACTAACAGATCAGTTGTAATCATCAGACAGTTCAAATAAGTGGTTTAACTAGGCAACAGCGTGCGTTGTTGGTGCCAACTATGAGCTGTCTGGTAAAGTCTCGAATCAAGCGCAGCCTATGAAGCGAGACGGACTATCTGCGTCCCATCTAGAAGTTAGTGACCTAAGTTGCGGACTTTACATCATCTCAAATCAAACAGCCAAAACAAAGTCTTATTCGTCAAGCGATGAGCAAGCAGAATTAACGAGCGATCGGACCAACGCAACTTATTCAAGTTTATTTGTTGAGTAGGAGGTAGCAACCTTGCCTCCGTCACTGAGTATTCATCTATGCAACGTATCGTCACAAATCGAATCATGATCGCCATTCGGTTCGAGACGAAAGAAAACTAACGATAACTCGGCCACTGGATAAGAAGAAGCATTTTATAATTATGGCAACTGGTACACGGTAAGAATTTGGGAACGCATACTAAACGAAACTGCTCTGCACACTTTCTCGGGATACAAAAGATGTGCAGCTAAACTGGACGGATGGAGGCACCCAGCGACTGTTACTTAGTAGATCATGCGCTCAGATTAACTAACTGAGGCCAAGCATATTCGAAAAAAACAGTGAACAGTGCAGCATGGCTCAGTTCGAAAGAGAAAGAAAAACCGAGAAACCGCAGTGGTGGAGGAAGATTCGCTCAGATCAACTAGACAAATGATCAGTAGGAATACGACCAATCAGAAACTACCAGTGCCAAACAATGGCGCGAGCAATTAACGATGAGCACATCGGATTGGATCGCGAGCATATGACTGGCCCAAGATGGTATCGACAATGCGCAACAACTTTGAAGGACAGAGAAATGTGATTGGCTCCTATGGCAACAAGAAGTAAACCGCATCCGAAATGGATAGCAAATCAAAAGCTATGATAATAAGGAACTCTTGGAATGGATATGCGCAATAACTAACATGCTGCTAGTGATGGATAGACGTAAACGCGAGATGCGGCGAATGTCCTGTCATTGGAAAGCCACACAAGGACGCTGCGATGTTGCACAGTTTTCGCGGTAAAAACCTAAAAAACAAGTGAAACTCGCGACGAGAACCAGTGGCTACCACTGGCAGGATGAATAAGTAAACACTGTGCTGCTTAGTCATCCGTAAAGACGTTACAATTAAACCTGTCATCATGGCTGCGAACAGCCACAAATCGCCTGGACCTATGGAGGGATCCGTCGCATAGTATAGTAGATGTATAGTAGATGCGAACCAGAAGGGATTTGGCCACAGAAGGATCGGATGAAAAGCACGACTGTTTTCCGGTCACCTCACAATCAGTCAAATTGTATAACACCCATGGGTAAGGGTATGTTGGCTAAAGTCCCTACAAAGTCATAAGGAGCCATACAGACCACAGATGCAAAGCCCACCAAGGGGGCATATCTATTGCATACGCTGAACATGCGGCATAGGCACAGGGTATTCACTTTTTGATCGCAAACGAAGGGTGTGAGGATCACACAAAGGACATGCACGAGGAGTTGACCGATGACACGTTAAGAAAAAAGACCCTATCTTAAGGTGACACGGTGAAGTGCATCTCGGTACCGACGACCAGACCCATCTTAAGTCAGAGCTGGAGATAATCGATATCCGCCATTACACAAACAGATTTAAGACACACACGAAGACCTAAGTTAAAGCACCGCGACGCCGAGTTGGAACTGGCATCGACGCAACCTTTAGATCGGCTGAGAGCAAGCGACAATAATGGTCGGTCCTCTTAAACATTGTGACTCATGGATTGGAAAATCCAAGAACAGCGGAAGTGAGTGAAAGCAGAAATCAAAAAGGAAATACCGACAATTCGAAACACTGGAAAGTTCGGACCACACTCTGCAGGACTGAGGGGAGGGATGTTGATAATCATTCTACTGCTCGTTTATGAGTAGTTCAATAATACACACAAATTTTCATAAAGACCATATCCGTGTGTCCACGCGCTCAGGTTGCTCTAGTGTGTATTGCATAACATTTCAGCTTAAAGATTGCATACTTAACAGATCTGGGCCTTCCCGCCTTGTCGCGCTTTAATCGAATGAACTGCTGAGCATAGCGCTACATGATCCGTGCTGCTTTGCGACTCGCGCCATTATACGCATTTTCGTGACACCACCATATACACAGTAAGACCCATTGGGCTGTGCACTAAATAAGGAGGGCACGACAGGTGGCTTTATTTTAGTGAAAATGGCGTCAGTCGGTTGCTGCGACCGAAGTAGGGTGGCATTAACTAGCAGTTTCATCATTATTATCATCATCATCAAGTATTAGATCAGCCATTTGAACTGATACTTCGCTGCAATACAACCACAAAGACCTAGGAAAAGAATAATAATAATAATAAGAGGGAGACAAAGGGGACTTGCCGGAAAACTTCAATGGCCTAAGCAAACACTGAGGGTCAAGGCGAATACATCTTATCAACAACACACGATCACAATCAATTGGCTATCGTGCAAATACAAGGCAGCATCAGCCAGACAGGTTCTTGGCAACTTTCACTGCTCCAAGTCATAATCAGCCATTAACCCGCAGATAACACAGCATCAAACAGACTTTGAACAGGCAGACCGACTACAACTACAAATTCGTTGCAGACAGGCTAGAGAAGTCAGACACAAAAATACCCCAGACAGAGATGATCAAATACTTGAATGCGCTTCAGATCTTCAGACCGAAGGGACCAAGTCTCACTCTCATAGAGTAAGACCATGTAAACACGGTCATTCAGAAGGAGAGAAACCCTTTTCTGTCGCCAAAGATGTCGAAGATACAAGAAGACAGTCCTGGCTTTCGCAATACGTGAACTGACTTCAGTTCTATGTGCTCATCGTTGCTGATGCAGCAGCCAACTTAAGTGAATCGGACAACTACCATGAGTTCCACGTTATCAATGGCCAACGAGTCATCAAGAGGCTCGTGGTCCTGTAACAACACTCGACAACTCAAAGGTGCGAAGCGAAAGCTGAATAATGGGACCACTCTAGTGAGGTTATTCAGGGTTGATTGGGCAGCCCCAACAAGGTTAAAAAGCAAGATAATATCGTCCGCCTAAACGACTAAGTAGCCTTTAAAGAGGTAGCAGCTCAACGCCTTCATGGTGAGATCCCGCAAAGGCACATTCCATGCATCAACACCAAGAAGAACATGCGCTCCGAACCAATGAGAAAGAAATGATTTGTGAATTGGAAAGCGTGCAATTACCCGTAAGGTGACAGATACCTGTCCAAAAACAGTTTCCGGCATTAATTTTCGCAGAATTTGCCAGTCTGGAAACGGTGATACGGCTTGCATCATTTGCGCCCCCACACTACCCATATTTTTAAACGAGGAAACAATGCATCACATCATTACTTGATTTGAATTCTGTACATCGAGTGACGACAGGACGCAGACAAACAATGTGCTCACCAACATCCGCGAGGAGCAGGCTGGCGTGCATGAATCACAAAATGTAAATTCCACCATCCTGCGTTCATCTAACATATGATGGACAAAACCGGATTCCCCGAAATCGATATACGAAGTCATACGGTGATTTCTGCTCAGTGCGATCTATCTGGGGTAGTTGAATGGCCTACACAAAACTTGCTGCAGCTGAACGTTGATGAATGTAAAGTGCTCCTCCTGCCGTACATTTGCACACTCTCCCACAGCTTATTCTATCTAACATGACCTTGCCGTAATGGTTCAGGGTGATCTGGATTCTTCTAAGAAGTCACAAAATGCACCGAAATCTGGCAACGAGGAACTAGACACAACTTTACTTCAATTGCTCAACACTTGGTTTCGCCCCCATGTGAAATATGCGCTACAAACTTGAAAGCCATGAAGAAAACACCATCTTATTGCTTTGGAACTTCCTCAACGCCAGGTCACCAAACATATCATTGAAATACGCAATCTACCACCATAGGAGAAGGAACTGAAGTACTAAGCGGGCTGTATCATCGGTAACCCAGCTAGTGCATCATAGCTTACCTACTCTTGCCTACTTCAGATAACATCACTCGCCTGGTCGACGAAACTGGTCAATAAACCCCATACACTACATACAAAGTGTGGAGCAAAGAGCTAATGGCAGGAATCCTGAATCCGATACAAATGAGTTCCTTATCGCCCCACCCAAAAACAAACAATCAGTGGCCGACATTTCACCCAAAACACTTCCCCCGACTCACTGCTGAGAACAGAGAAAATTTCCTTCATGTACACCGATGCATAAGATCTCCTTAGCAAGCTTGCCGAACTACGGCTACGTCAAGCATCATACGCCTGAGACCTCTTATTCGTAACTTAATATTCTCCGTGCTGAGTAATTGCGGACGCCAAAGTCGCGATAGGTGATGTGTCGCTTGCACGAAACGATCGCTCCAGCAAGGGCGGTGGCGGTGGCGGCGCGGTGGGGAGTATTTTCGTACTACGACAACGACCTGCAGTGCGAACCGGTACATGATGCGAGTACTCTGATAACAAATTCACTCTGATGTAGTCTGTGATTGCGACGCAACGACACTTGCCTTGTGGTAATTTTTTTTATCGTCTCCTAATATCCACTCCATCGATGGACTCACTTCTACCATTAGCTTTGGGGAGCGTCCTGCGACCACGATGCAGTCATGTCCTCATCTCAAGCGACTTCAGTGTTCACGTGATGGAAGTTATGGCACCGCGCAGCGAGTAATTCAACGCCGAGCTGCAAGATCTTGTTGTAAGATTCCACTCTTCAGCCATGTTAATGCACCCATCCGATTCAGAGCGGGAAGTGAATCATCCGCGCTTGGTTCTGTGCTCATGATCGAGCGGTCAACGATGGAGCGCCCACTGGGGGTGTTCAGATGACAATACTTTGTGACTGTAAGTTTTACGTACTATCCACGAGAACAAACTAACTTGTTTTGTACAGAACTTGCTGGTGAAGTCATCTGGGTGTTTTCGGACAACTGTCCCATTGATAGTGCATGGATGAAGTTTGATGGCAACTTCAGGGATCTGATTCGATCCGCATTGGCAAACACTCATTCGTTCTACAAGGGCACCATCATTCATTCGGAGTAGAACCCGAAAATGCATGGCGGCAAGAGACACAGTGTAGGATGTGTACAGAGCGAACCCTAGTCCTGAAGAATGGAGCAACTATTTGGTTCCGCATAGTCACTGTGCCACACTAGTCCGTGAGAACAGATTAGTACACCAGCAGAGCACAGCGGAAAGGTTTTGTGCTAACAACAAGCTATTGTACGGAGATGTGAACAGCCTCCGGAATGAGAAGCGCAGTCTTCCTCCACTCATCTCAACAAGTGGATGTGCTTAAACCGCCGAGAATGCAGCCGACGTTCTACGGATCCAGTATTTCGGCGCGACACCAGCATGTGTCACATACCTGTCCCATTCCTTCAGACGCCAGTATGTACGCATGTCACTTTTAGTTCAGCGGTCGTTTTGTGGAAGCTGTTATCCTTGCGCACCTATAGTTCCCCCGGTCTTGACAACCTACAGTCAAAACTACTGCACATGACAACTGTGAGGATAGCGGAGTTATGAATCTGATATTTCCAAAGATGCCTGGATGAACATCAGGTTCCTAGCATGTGGATGGTGGGTATCCTTACTCCGCTTTTCAAGGGTGGTAGGCGCTCGGAGCGCGCTAATTATTTCCCAGTGATTCTCCTCCTAGTGATGGAGTCGATCATAGCCGAGGCACTAATGAGCCATATAGAAAGATCTAACATCATAACACTAGAGCAACACGCATTTCGGTAGCATCGGTCATGTACTAGTAACCGACTGATTGCGCGCGGCATTTGGACCGAAATAGCCGGCAGTGGGACCGTCACTAATGTCATCTATCTCGACTTCTCTTAAACCTTCGATTGCGAAGATCACCGCATCGTTCTCTAAAAGCTGCAGACCTACGGAATTGGATAACCCGTCCTTGTATAGATCGAAAATGTCCCTCTTTAGCGGCGGCTTCGGGTTTGAGTTCAGAGCTCATTTTCAGATCCTAGCGATGTGGACTGCGGTGTTCCACAAGGGTCGGTGTTGGGGCGACGCTTATTTTTGGTCGTCGTCAACAAACTTGCATGTGTTACCGAGTCGAATTTCCTGATTTTGCCGATGAAACCAAGAGATGGTGGCGATCAGAGGTCAGGAAATTCACGATTTCCTGCAGCGGGACTTAGACCATGCTTTTGAATGGTCAAAGGCAAATCTACCTCTGTTCATCGCGGACAAGTGCAAAACTGTACATGTACGCCACAGGCCCCGTAACACAAGCTTGAAAACCACATGCTGAAAACTGTCTTGCAGCAGCGCGACCTTGTGGTGGACATGCAAGGCAACCTCGGCTGTTCAGCGCAGTCTTTGAACGCGTCCAAAATCGCGAACCAACATGTTTGTCTCTTACTGGGGCGCTCGGATGTTTCGACCCCTCCATCTCCGCTCAAATGCACAGCGCGGTTAGGCCCCATGTAGAGTACACGATTCAGGCTTGGCAACCCTAGTTAGAGCGTGATTTGGTTGCACTGGAGACCACACAGCGAACAGTAAGTAAAAATCTTCCATCTGTCATACCATCTGCGACTGAAAACTTTAGGAGTGTGCAGCGGAAGGTATCGCCGTCTACGAAGTGATCTAATTCTGAGGTACCGGATCTTGAAAAACCCCTGTCAGACTTTCTGAAACTTAGCCGCAACACAAAATTGAGTGATCACTAGGTGAAACTGTCTACTCAATACACTCGATTGGAATGCGGACGGAATTCTTTTTCTCTTCGAATGTGTCAACTGTGTAACGCTTGTTCGACGTTGTCAGTTCTGCGCACACACTACCCAATTTTACAAAACGACTCGGCAATACATTACATCATCTGCATTAGTTGATTTGAATGTCGTCCATCGAGTGACAAGACACCGACACAAACATGGTGTTCACCAACCCCCCACGAAATCGGGGTAAACTGATTTACTTGTGTGTTAACGTGGATATTATATGAGTCCACAGAAGTGCATGTCTCTTTAGTGGCACATCTTTTTGAACTTAGGTAATTCACACAAACCATCCCACGGGACCTGTCAGGCGTTGGCTTTTCATACATGTTATACAATTGTTCAACTGAAGAGGGCTGATCAGGTATTTTGAAAATTATACTGTGTTCTTGAACCTGCGATAGCTGCAGCGTCAGAAGAGGATTCGCACCGGTCTGAAACGCTGCGTGGCCACAATGATGAGTGTGCTTCTCTGTGGGATTGGGACATCGATCTTACAGTCCCAGGCTCCTCAAGTCTTTAATTATCGTTGCGCGTAGAACATTATTGATGTTGAATGGCAAGATGATGCACGCAGGTGATAATCAGGATAGTTTCCTTGTGCAACAGACAATATTGAATAGGTTTCGTTTGATTTCTGACGTGTCACCTGAGCCCGATTACCGCTTACCGGATGTCGGATAGCGTAAGGCACGATGTGGGTTAAAATTCACCTGGTAGCGGTAAATAAAGTCACTGATAACCAAACTGGTTGCTATTGGTCCGTCTGACTTTCTAGGATGGAGTTCACACCATTCGCCTTATGCTAAGCTCATCACGCTACAGAACATGACACGCAGTCGGCACCAGTGCCGCGTCTCCTGCCTGTTTAAAGTGCACTTGATACTGAGTTATCTGTGGGGTAATGGCTGATTATGACGCGGGGTTCCGAAAACCTCAAGAAAGCTGTGGCGCTGATGCCGTCTTATCTTTTCACAACACGTTATGTTGTTGATAAGGTTTACGATAGTACTTTCTGCTGCATTCCAAACCACAAATATAAATGGAAAGGGTGGAGTTGAGTTAAGTCGTGTGTGTTCCCATCCGGAGTGCGGCGCGCGGAAACCCGTCAAATTGAGCGGGAATTCTTGAAGGCGACATTGAAAACAAACGTACCGCCTCCAAAAGTATTCGTGATACTGGAAGCCCGCCGCACCAAGTCGTCTCTGTGCCTTCTCAATTTCGGTATCCATCTCCCTGTGAAAAGAAAGTTAGAGTGATCGGCACAATGGTAATGCAAGGTTGTGAAAAGGTTTGATAGAAAGAGTGGATAATATTCACAAGTCATTTTTTCGTCAGAATAACTAGAGCAGTGGTTCCCAAACTTTTTGATGCTGTTACTCAAAAAGCGGGTTCACCACAAACAATTACCCCCACAAAAAGGTTTAGTTTGAAAGCTAATTACTTAACAACTATTGCATTTCATGCCTCTGAATTACGGAAAATGAATACTATGTCTACCGTCGATTATACAAGTAGACAAGACATGTATTTCCAAGCAAATTTTTATTAATTCATGTGGTGGTGTATGTCAATGAAACGATATTGTTTTTTACCCTAACACTTTCTGGTGTATTCAGTGCAATTACGGCCAATGCGTAAATGGTGCTCCAGGTTTATTTGGCCCCCCATGATCAAACAGGAACAGATGTCAGTAGTTTCACATTTGTTTCTACCATCCCTTCCATGGCCTTCCTGGATGACAGCTTCCCATCATACTCCTCATCATCATCAATCATCGATATACGTTAGCCGAGGGTGAAAAACACACCTCAGCTAATGTGCCGCAATACAAAAAGATAAGAGATTAAACAGTACAGACTACAAAAGCTAAAGAAGTGACATAGTGCTGAAATCACATTATGGAATGGGTTGAGGTTGCTGTTGGAGCGGGAAGCTAAAGAGGAGGAAAGGGACAAAGAGACACAACACAAACACCACTGAGGTCGACTCCCGGCCATGTCAGCTAGTGTATCCAATCGAACATGTTCATCGTTCTTCGGGCCCCAGTCCGGCAATCGGGAAACACCCAGCGAAGTGAGGGATTTCATTTCTCTTGACCAAGTCATCGCTTGGCCTACCCTCCACATGTTCCATACACACACCGGGCGCGCAAACAACGCACAATGCGGGAGTCGGTGTGCTGGCATGCGCAACACCTGGACTAGCAATCGGAGTCTGGTGCATGACAGAATGGTGTTGAGTTGTCCACTCGCTCTTGCTGCACCGAATACGCGACGCCGAGCACATTCATTGATCACGTGGTGTTCTCACGAGACATGAGCTAAGCTTCGAATTCAGCGATGGTCTAACGTAACTAGCCTCTTTATGCCGGATGATCAAAGGGCCAGGTTTCGCAACCCTACAGGAGGGTTGAATGGACGGGTGCGTTATAAACATTGTCCTTCAAAGCGAGAGTGATGTCACGCGGGTGCCACAGATGCCGGAGATCGGCCTTTCCACCACCACTACTCTGCAGTGGAATGTCCTGAACACTAATTGCCTGTTTTGTTTCTTCTACCTGGTAAACATTCGTTGGCTCCTTTACCTGGTCGACTGATCAATGCTCCCATCTTAGTGTTCACACAACTCTGTACTTCGACCCGGCGAACGAGTACTTGAATTAAAAGAACAACGATGGACAAGCGAGCCGATAGAGACTACATCTAGATGTTCTGCTTTGGAGAGTTGTATTCGTAGGTAATAAAAGTATGCAATAAGTATGTAAAAGTATGCAATAAAATTTATTACCGAAAATTGACTAATTCAATGACCACTCACTAACGAGTTGTCACTGAGGGTTAATCAATAATGATTAGGTAGTTAGTTACATGTTTTGATACTGATGATTTTGCTACTAATTTTGACCCAATCCCCGTATTTGCATTTACCCCCAGGCTGAGCACAACTGAACTACATAGAGTCAAGTGTTAGGGCACTGTCGAAAATTGCACAAGCGTGTGCAGCTGGGAAGTGTCCAGCTAAAACCACCATAGTTATAGTCAAGAGACACCCTGTCAGGATGTGACCTAGTCAAGGTATATACACAGGCAATAGTGCCCAAACTCGATGAAATTCAATCTCACAGCTGGAGTGTGTAAATAGCTGCTGTGAAGCTGTACAACGGCAAAAAGCAATGAATCGAAACGAAAACTGTCATTTCGATGTGCAACACTATGTCCGGCACCACGACCCAGAGGGAAACAAGTGTTCAGTCAATTGGACTGGCTGCAAAGGCGGTCCCATTCGAGGAAGGCAATCTATGGGGTATGAAAAACAGAAAAGTGTGGGCTAGGAACCAGTGAGCAAGTGCACGACAGGTTATGAAATTGGTGGCCATCGATAATTCCTCCTTCAGCGTGCGTACGTGGACATGGTGAAAAAAGAGTACACTATAAAGAAAACGAAAAGATTCGATATCTACGGGCAGAAGAGCCGAAAACGAAAGTCACTATAGGAACGCGTAATACGGGCTTGTTAAACATACCAACATTCTGGCTCCACCTCATCACCACCGAGATGAACGTATTCATCGGGGAACAGATCGACTATTTCTTCTAGCAATGCCTTCAAAAATGCAAAGGTCTCATTGGCAAAAGGATTGAGTGGACCGAAATAGATTGTAGGGTCGTCCTCTGGTCGACATTGAGCTAGCAACTCCGGTTTACTGTAGGCGAGGCTACGTGTATGACCTGAAGACAATGATAGTAACGAAAGTGAACCAATGTTAACCTGAAGCAGAACTAAGCAAACAAAATGCGCGTTAGCGAGATAAATCTGCGCCTTGGCGAAAGATGTGATCTGCATGAAGACAAGGCGACGCATGGTGGCCTGACAGTGCCACTAACGGTAAAGTAGGCGGTGAGAGCAAGGCTGGGTAAAATAGTAAAGATATCCCTAAACTAAAAGGACATAAGGTACACTAAAAAAGCAATGTTGACCACCAACAACAAACCGTATAGAATGATTAGGAGCAAAAAATCAAAGGACAAGACGAAAGAACAAAGAAGGAGTGGAACACACCTGGAATGTCGAATTCAGGGAGCACACGGATTCCGCGCATTCGAGCAAACTCAACAATCTCCTTGATGTCGGAAGCAGTGTAAATTTGTCTATCGGAAAAGGCACCCTGCAAGAAGTATGGCGACAGAATAGTCGAGTGGTATGCGTGGAAAAATGGTAATGTATAAGGAAAATAATCCATTTACAGTTAATTTCGTGCGTTTTTCTACCTCACAAACATGCATCCAATAATATTCCAAAAGCAAAATCAAGTGGGAACGATTAATAATCAATCGGTTTGCATCAGCCTCAGAGAAAGAGCCAAAGGCCGCGGTGAATCTGTGGTGGCATACCGCAGTGCACAAATTAGATTCAGAATGAATGTAAAGCCAACTCATAAGAAATTTGCTTCGTAGTTGCATAAGTTGCTCGCTTGTGATAGAGGAAAGTGCATGAAATGAATGGGGGATATCACAAATTACGTCTACTGATATGGTTGGTTGGCGATATAATAAATCCGACCAGGAGAACGTGAAGGCAAATTAAGCGTTGAGACTGTGAGAATAGATTATGAAAATGTCAAAAAGTGGACGGGAATACAGTCAGAACGACAACAACAAATGGAGACACGGTCAATGTGTTGTGCAAGAGTGCATTCCCACACTGGAGGATAACGCATAACACTACACGGAGATTTCAGTTGATAAAAACCGATTGAGCTACCGAGTGAGGTAATGACCACTGCATGTGCAACTTTGCCAACGGTTGGCAAAGAAGACATAGACAGAGTTAGAAGGGCTAAATTGGCCTGTTCCGTCATGGAGATGCTAAACAGGTTCAAGCAGTACCGTGAACCCAATTCATCATCATCCGCTTTCAGTGGATGCCCAGGCAAACCAAGCGTGTCTGATCTGATGTCCAGCAACTCCAAGTTGGCGACGATGTAAACATCTCCTGGCCGAAATTGTTGGTAGCACAATCGAAGTATGCGACAGACATCCGGTTTGAGTGCGTCTCAGACACACTGATGAGCACTACACTTACCACAATTTTGGATAGTGGCGCAGGGACAGAGAGATTCTATTGGCTAGCCATACATATTGTAAACGGATCCTGGAGTGTCACACATTTGTGTGAAAATGCCTGGAGGTAGGGTAGAGCGTATAATCGAGAAACATGCTCATACAGTGACGATAGTTACAGCATGGTGCTGAAAATTACGATATTTTGTTAATAACTGCTGCTGGGTTACGAGGACAGCCAGTTTGCGAGATAAAAGGCGTTTTACATCTCAATGTACGACCATAATAGTTCAATAGTGTATGATGGGATAAAAAGCATTGGCTTTACAAGACCCATAGGATGGTAAATGCAAAATAAGTACAAATCATTAGCTTCCGACATGGAACTGAAATGCCAATAGTCTAAACCTGGTACATTACACCACAATGTGTTGTTTGTCACTCAGATGAATGTCTAACAATTGTTTGAAGGCTGTAATGTTCAGAGCGTTTACTACATGCGTTGGCAAGTCATTCCATTGTGAACAGATTCTAAGAGAGTAAAAATATTTTCTACAGTCTAATCGGGAGTGTTGGATTATCAGCTTGAGGTTATGACCTCTCGATCGCTTATATGAGGCTAGGGTGAGCAGCGATTTGCACGGGTGATCGCTTTCCGTTAATATCCGGTATGCGAGAATGAGATCTCCGCGTAGTCGTCGGTATTCGGAGGAAAACATTCCGATTAAACTGAGACGCACTTCATAATTGAGACCAGATAATCCGCGTGTTGCCTTGGTAGCTCTTCGTTGGGGCTGCTCTAAGATGAATGTCTCGTTTTAACCATGGGCACCAAGCCTGGACGGCATATTCGACGTGGGGACGGATATAGGAGTTGACAAGCATGGGTACCAGCCGCCGTTCAAAAACACCAAAAGCTCGCCTCAAAAGTCTCAGGTTCATGTTCGCCACGTTCGCTGCTTTGGAACATTGGAGCGAATTCCCCAGACTTTCTTGCACAATGATACCTAAGTCTTTTTCTGTGGTCACGCGCCGTAAAGCGTACTGCCCCAAGAGGTACGTGTTGGCAAGATTGCTGCGCAATGACAGTAGGTGACACTTGGCAGGATTCAGGGGGAGGTGATTTATATCTGCCCATTTGTAGATTCTATCCAAATCATTCTGGAGGAGGGCACAGTCTGATGTTGAGAGAATAACTCTCCAGATTTTTGCGTCATCTGCAAAAATTTGCATCGAGGATTGAATATTATCCGGGAGGTCGTTAATGTAGACCAGAAAAAGGAGGGGACCAAGGACGGATTCTTGAGGAACACCGCTGGAGATGCAGAGGGTTTCCGAGAGGGCATCGGCGACTCTGACCTTGATCGTTCTGTCATGCAAATATGCTGCTAGCCAGGTGAGTAGGGAACCATGGATACCGTAGGCACGAAGCTTATGAAGCAGAGCTAAGTGATTGACTCTGTCGAATGCCTTCGAAAAGTCTAGGTAAATCACATCAAGGGGAGATCCTTCATCAAGTGCTTTGGTCCATGAATCCCGAGCAAGAAGCAGATTTGTGAGGCAAGATCGTTTGCGCCTAAAGCCGTGTTGGAGGTGAGAAATTAGCTTCAGACTCTCAAAATATCGTGTAATTTCATCTGCAACTAACGATTCCATTACTTTTGATAACACAGGGAGGAGAGTAATGGGTCGGTAGTTGGCAGGATCCGATCGCTTACCTCCTTTGTATATCGGAGTGACTATCCCGCTTTTCCACTCAGACGGAAGTGTTTGGGAATTGAGTAGACTTTGGAAAAAGCTTGCGAGGTGTGCTGCTATGGTGGGAGCAAGAGTTTTAAGAACTTTGGGTCTGATCTTGTCGACTCCCGGAGCGCTATTTTCTCTTAGAGACCGTAGTTTGCTAGCGACAGCTGCTGAGGTAAAAGTGACAGTTGATATGCCGACCACGTTGGGTGATATGATGAGTAACCACAAACAGTATTTTATGTTATCCGTATTGTATGATTGTGCTATATAGTAGGCTTGGTGATTTTAAGATACCTAGCGAACAGAGGCATTTGCATACAAAAGGTACTGAATGAATTCAACTCGCATCTATCTCATCTCGTTATATTAGCACACGCCAACACCTTCATCATTATCAGCATTGACAGCAGTACATCAGCCATATGAACTGATGTACAGATGCAATTCAACCATGGCGACCTACGGAACGAAGAAGAGACAAAGGAGGGGACTTGCAAGAAAAACATAATAGTGAATACACCATGTCAACAACACACGATCACAATCAGCTGGTTATCGTGTAAAGATAAGGTGGAATCAGCGAGACAGATTCCTTATGGCTTTCACAGCCCCACGTCATAATCAGCCGTTAACCCGCAGATAACTCAGCCCTAAACACTCTTTAATCCGACAGTCCGACTACGTGACGGCAGCAGATGCGCCACTGCTGTCGACTGCAAGCCATGTCCTGTAAATTCTCAGGGTAAACACAAGGCGGGTCAAGTGGACTCCAACATAAAACGCGAGACGAACCGACGACACACAGTTTGGTCGTCAGTGACCTCATTTCCCGCTGCCAAGTCAAATTTTGTTCACCTCGAGCCTTGCGCCACCCTATATGCGGCAAACAAAACAACGTCCTTCTCGGTAAGCGGTGACCAGGCATATGTATTACGTGCACAAGTTAACGAGACTTATTCAGTCTTGCTACCGTTCTAAGGAAATAGCCTGGTTTTCACTGCCTAGTACTCGCTTACGCACATCATCGTTGCGGACACGCTAGTGCCATCTGACATCAGCAATGCTGCACAGACAGCGATGATCAAAGAATTGAAGGCGACTCAGATCAAACGGGCTAAACCTCATTCCCATATAGTAGGACAGCCCTCACTGTGGCCTTGTAAACACGGCCTTCTAAACGGAGAGGAAACCCTCTCTGTCACCAAAGATGTCACTGATCCAAAAAGGTAGTTATGGCATTTGTAATAAGTAAAAGAAGTTCCATGCGCATGTGAAAGTGACTAGCAGAAACAGCAGCTGATGAGCAAGTTGTAATACAGTCCATGGTTTGCGAGAGGGCGTGATACTACCCGATTGCCCAAGCCGAAGTAGGGAGTTGACTTAGGGGACGCCATCCAGAGCCTTTGGCCAAATAACCTACCCGCAAGGCAGCGGGGCGAATTTAGGGAATCGCGCCCATTAGGAGGCGTTGACTGAATGTTCAGTTCATGCGCCTTTGTTTGGTAGATTACCAAACAGAGGCTCAATACTCCCCATGAAGTCAGCACACCGGCTGGAATACAATGTCCCACCGAGGTGGAACATTGTCGCCGAACACTTTGCTGGAACGGGGTACACCGGAACCACCCAGCTGGCACCACGAGGAGGTAGTTCGGCAAGCAAGAGAAATATACCATCATCTTACGAGTACTTTACCTTCATACATTTGGCAGAGTGCGGGTCTATGGCAAGCTTTCATCGCAATTCACTGTCAATAGCGGTGTGCGATAGATAGGGTTGCCCTATGTCCCCATTCCTCTTCAACTTCGCAATCGAAGACGTTCTGTCGAATGCTCCAGAAGGTTTCCAATATTTTGGCCTGGAGCTTCTACCGGGTGAGCGCGCGACCGACTTAGATTATGCTGATGATATCGCCTTACTTGGTGACGATCCTCAGAGTATGCAACTCATTCTGGATCGTTTGGCGGTTGAAGCATCTAAGAATGGCATGAGCTTCGCCCCATCGAAGTGTAAAATACTGCTCAAAAATTGGCTTTCACCTGCTCCCGTACTAACCCTCGAAAGTGGACAACCTGAACAGGTAGATAGTTTCGTCTACCTTGGCAGCTGTGTTTCTGTTGACGGCACTATCAACAAAGAAGTTTCTCTTCGTATCGCTAAAGCCCGATCAGCATTTGGCAATTTGAGGCACTTGTGGCGTCATCGCGACGTCTCATTCACACTAAAGGGCAGCGTCTACAATGGCGCATCAGTTCGCTCAATATTGTTGTATGGGTGCGAGTCCTGGCCGATTCGTGTGGAAGACATGCGTCGTCTTTCTGCATTCGATAACGGATCGCTCGTGTTTGGTGGCAACATC